TATGAATCAGTATATCTCTGCTTTTCCATACAATTAGTCCTTAACACAAGTTTGTTGTTAACACTTGTTACATTTCTGGAAAATCAAAATTGAATGATTAGATTCATTGAGGAAGGGTTTTCTGTTACTTTGTTTACTTACTTGATTTAATGAAATGTGTTATTATACTTATTTGATTTATACTTACTTATTGATTATACTTACTCAATTTATAGAATGTGTGCCAAATTAACTCCTTTATCTCTTGTAGCATACACAAGGTCCACACATGAGCTATCCCAAAGTTTCTGGTGAGTAAGACATTGCTCATACAATGAGGTATCTGCCCATTAGTGCTGGGAACTCTTCTGATTGATTTAAATGAGAAACTCCCAGCTGGCCACAAAATCTCTAGGCTTCCCTCTTTGAAATTTCTAGAAGGGAGAACACATAACTGTTATGTGTTCTCACCTACTTACTGTTTCCTGGATATGTCTTCTTCCTTCTGGTAATGTTTATTCAAGCATGCCAGGTTCTGATATCCTTTATTTATGAATATGTCACTCTTTTGGTGAGATACTGTGTTGAAAATGTTGCAGTTTGAAAGCCGCAGTGGTAGTGGTGGTGGGGGGGGGAAGGAGATATCAAAAAAAAGTATCGGATTCACAAACAGTCTGTGGACTGTAGGTCCGATCGCCTTCCTAGGAGCGAATCGAGTTCCCAAATAGTGTGATCCACTATAAGCTCGACCCTGGCAGTATCGGATTCACGAACAGTCTGTCAACTGTAGGTCCGATCGCCTCCCCCCAAACAAGTAGTCGAGTTCACAAACAGTATGATTTATTCAAATGCAACATTTACAAAGCAGGTTTCGGATGTCAGTACAGGAAATTCTCTACTAGAGTGTGGGATTTTTAGCTAGCTCTGATGTACAAATGTGCAATCATCACTCACCCCAGAAGATGGGAGAGGGCTCTCAGTCTCGAGTCTCCTCAGGCGGCATCCCAGCGTGAGGGGAGGGAAGGGGGATCAGCCTGTCGACTGACCCAGGAGTTACGATGGTTTCTTCCCTCCAGACTTTCATCCTTAGTTCACCTTTTATACTTTTCTTTACATTCAGGTGGAGCTTGAGTGACTAGAGTCATACTTAATATTGTTATTGATTGGTGAAAAAGTTTCTCGCTTTCATTTAAAGGTACAGTCCACCGAAAATCTAGAGCGCATGCTCAGTGAGGGGTGGTCGTACCTCGGAGGCGGGTAACTTTTGGGATGGAAGTATGGTTTTCACATTATAATGAGCAAAGTTCAAGCAAAGTTCATCATTTGCCACCTTTGCTGGCTCAGCACCGGACTTGTTATCGTATATCTCTCATTAGACAGCCACTGTGCGGCTTATCAGCAGCCCAGCACAGGGAGCGCAACAGAGTTTGGCCGCGGAGCCTTCACCCCGCTCCATCCTCCGTTACTCCCCTTTGCAGCTGCGAGGAGGGCAGATTGCGTTGCCCAGGGAACCGTGGAGGAGCAGAGTCCGTGCATACCAACCATCCTGGAAGTGGCAACTGTGTAGCACCCCAAGCAGGCCTCTGTAATGCCAGAGCTGTATTAGGCCCTAGTTTTCCTCTCAGTTCCTGCTTTCAAACAATTCTTCCACAAACACTCCTTCCACAGATACCAGCAGATTAAATTCCACTGGGTATTTTGGGGTGCCAGGAAGGATGACTGAGATAGTTTGATTCCTTGCTTAATACAGTCCAAGGGTCTTCTTTGTATTAGTTCTCTATTCAAATCCAATAGCTAACTTGTTCTTGCAGCAGTAATTGCCTGAGTAACAAACACTGGGTGAATATAAAATCTTTCGTTTTATGCTGTTTATACTTCTGTGGATTATGTTAACTTTTTCACTGGACAACATCACTAAAGGCATTTATATTATGTTGAAATTCACCATGGCTTTTGAAGTCTATTTCTGAGGCTGTGCTTCCCCTGGTAGAATCACCTATCCTGTAAGCATGGTCTGCAATCAACAAGAATCAAATTGTTTGCATTTGAGAAATTCACTTCATTATTCTTCCTTGCAAAGCAAGAAAATCTTCAAAAGCAGGGAGTCAGGAAGCCTACTAAACTCCAAAATACATATACAATATACAAACAAAAATGCAAGAAGTAAATGGCATAAATCATGCTTTAATCATAATCTTAAATTCCTTTGGTGTTTTTCCAATTGCTCGTACTTTACATTTTTTCAAACGTTTTAAAGTAGTTATTCAAATAGCCATACTTTGGCTACTGTTAGTAGCCATACTTTGTATAATTTCTTAGTTTCCTTGGGAATGATCTGAGGCTTTTTTATCCTGGATGATATTGGAAAGCTGAAATTTAAGCTGTATTCAATTAGAAAATGACAAAACTACACAATAAATCGTGCTAAATTTCATCTTATATGAGAATAATTCTCCATTTGAGGGCTCGTGTTAATGCTACGCTAGCCTGCAAGTTTTTTTAAAGCCATTTAATTTGTTTTTGTACAATTCTAGAAGCACAATCGTGTCTCCATCCTGTACAGGGTCCCTCAGAAGCTATTACAGTAGAAATACTTCACAGTAGCAGTTCCCCATCTGCTGTTTCATGTATACATTACAGCTAAAATTAGACTGAACTACTGATTTTATAAGTGAAAACAAATTATTCTGGCCAAAATTTGCTCTGCATTTTAGGAAAGAAGTGACTGAACTCCAGCTGAACACTTGTTAGTACCAGGTGTCTCAGTTTTGTCTTTGCTTTATAACTCAGACTCCATAAACAAAGGATTTGTGATTTGTGCTTCCCAATGTCTGCTTTATTTCTCTGTGAATAAGTGTTCTCTAAGCCCTTCAGAAAGAAAAAGAGAGGAACTTTAAAAGAAGACAAAGCCACTAGTTATAAATGAAGGAGGGGAGAGACCCTGCAGCCATATGTAGTCTTCTTCTGAAGACTTTGAGAGTGAGAGTAAGGTGAACTAGCTTCTCCTAGGAGAATTCCTTAATTCTTTCACTTAAAATGAGAGGAGTAAGTGTTGTGGTTAAGGTCTTACTTATTTTAGGTTTTTACTGTTTTTTTGAATTATGGGATTATGTTTGACTCTCAAATATAATTAAACAACAGATTTTTTCTACCAAAGGTTTTTTTTAAAAAAAAAAATAACAAGACTGAAATACTTTGGGGAATATATCGTTTGACAGAATTTAAGGGTCCTTTGAAAGGGAATAGCTATGGAAAGCAAACACAATATTCTTTTATAAAGTGCATGTGGAGGAAATTTTGTTTCTACTGATACCTAGAAACATGTAGCTCACCTTGCTCACTGGGCTCTTGATTTATGTCTATGTGGTATAGAAAACAAGTTCAATGACATCACTGACTGACATGTAGGAATAACACTGCACTCCTGCTTGGTAGAGCTTCTAATTTGTCATGAAAGGAGAGCTGGGATGTGGAGTCCTATATCTTTGGAAAAAGGGAGCAGGAATTTTCCATTTTTCTTCTTGCTCTCTTGGGTTTGTACAATTCATGATGTTGCTGTGAAGATAACAATTCCATCTCACAGAGGTGTTCCTGGAGATGAAATGGAAGAGTTGAACTACAAGCTGTTATTTAGAGTGTGGAGAAAGACCAGATCTTGGTCTGTAGAAAAGCTTCTATAGAAAAGCTTCTATAGAACTTTTCTGGGTTTCCTTCCTTTCTGTACCAGAAACCCATGAGGGAAAGCCACAGAGAGTCACTTTTCCTGCCCTTTTCCACTCTTAGGATGCAGCATGACCTTTGCAGCATGTGCAAGTCTGGAAAACGTTACTGACCTGGTAATATTTTAATAGAACTGTGTGCTGTTTAGAGGCATGTGACTAGCACAGACCTTGTGAAAAGGGTGTGGAATGTAAGGCACAGCAGAGAGTGATGTCTCCCCAGCACCTCTGTTACTTCATCCACTGCTTGTGTCTGATGGCAAGGGAATATGATGGAAGAGGAAAGAGAGAGGGGAAGGCATATGGCCAAGAAAATTAACTAGCAGTTAATTAATGAAGCTCTGCAGGCACCACCATACCTGTCTTCTATTTGTAAGCTCATGTTTTGACCATCTCTTTGTAAAAATAGATGTTGCATGTTCTCTGTCTCTGAATACTGGGTGAGACAGATTTTCCTCTTTGTCTTCCTTTCTTATCTTATAAAGCTACACCACCACTAGGCATATGTGCTCATCATTAAAAGTTAACATTTCTACTGGGACAACATTGACATGCCCCAAACACGGATCAGAACCTCATTTATGCTCTGTGCTTTTTATGCAATGAGTAGAATAATCTTTATGCTGTACACATAATGAGTAGAATAATCATGCTGGCAGAGAGAGTGCATGATAAGGATCAGATGAGACATGTCAGGTAGCCCAAATAAGTGAACATCATCAGAAAGAGTACAAGGTAATGAGAGCATCAAGTTATCAGAGCATCCAAGATAGATAGTCTCTGGACCTCCAATGGTTCCTCCATTGTATTTTTAGGGGACACAGTAGCAAAGAGTACATTCAAGGGAAAGCTGAGCAGAAAGGAATCACCACACTGCTACCAGCATTACCAGGAAGCAGCTAGGGAACTCTGCCAGTCCTTGCAGGGAGTGGAGGGCACTTCCCTGTGCTCTGCCAGCCAGTGGGGGCAGCAGCGCTTCATCCGGTCCTGTAGTCTCAAGGCCTCATGGTGCTGCAACAGGCAGAGCTGTCTGTAAGCTTGGAAGTGCTCTGCAGGAACACGGTAGGTGCCTGGGTGGTTGTGCTGAAAGTGCTTCATGTACTAGTTGGTTGCAAAGGACCGTGCAGCAGAAGCTAGGGAGCTGCACTGGAACCCGGCATGTACCAGCAGGATCAAACCAACACCACCACAGCCAAGTTTCCCACAAACTCCGCAGGCTGCTGGCCCTAGGGGCTGCAGCAGGAGGCGGGGGTGGGGTGATATTTCCCCAGTACGAATTACTGCCTGTGTCTCACCACTCAGGACCTAAAGAGAGCCTGTACCAAACCACTGGGGAGGAGCGGTGGCTACAGCCCTGCAAGTGCTAGAGCTGAGAGTGGAGCTCAGCTGAAGGTATGCCTGGGGTGGGAACAGACAGGTTGCTGTTGGGGAGCTTAGTGCATTCACTTATTTTCTTCAAAAAAGATTGTGGTATAAATTGGGATACTTTTGAGAGGCTTTCAGGAATGAATGGACTGCTCATGGAGGGAAAGGGGGAAACTGTTAGCAGATGTTGATGCAGTAAGAATTTGCAAGGAATACAAGGTGTTAAGACTGGGAGGAAAATGGGCTGCTATGCTGGGAGCCTTTGCGCTTTGCAGGTGTTTATATAGTTTAGGGAACTTAGAGAAAAAAATCTTGACAGTGAGGGTGACAGAGCACTGGAACAGGTTGCCGAGAGAGGTTGTGGAGTCTCCTCTGGAGATCTTCAAAACCCACTTGGATGCAATCCTGTGTAACATGCTCTAGGTGACCCAGTGTGTGCAGGGGGTTAGACTAGATGGCCTCTACAGGTCCCTTCCAACATTAATGATTGTGTGAAATTTTCCTCCTTCTATCTAAATATTCAATAGTATGTATAGGCTTACCACTGTTAATAGAGCTTATTGGTGTTTTGCAAAATGTGTTGCACCTGTGCCTTCCTCCCTTTACCTTGCTCTGCTCCCAGCTCTGAAGAAAAAGGTTGCATGTGCCAGCTCTCTTCCTTTCCTAGATGGAGCTAGCAACAGAGCCTATGTTTTCTCAACTCCAGGAGGCTGCGAAAAGTGAGATTGCAGGAGGACCTTGTGCAGGTGAGAAGTAAACTTTTACCTCCATGATTTAACTAGCAGAGTTTGAGATTTCATCAGGGGTGCTGGGACCTCTGCCTTCTTTCTTCTCAACTGTCTGGTGTCTAGTTTGAAAGGATGTGTATTACATACTAGGCTAGCCTTTTTGTTTTCTGTGAGTCTATAGCAACTGTTTTAAAATAAGAAAATATGGTTTGGAGTGAAAGAGAGCAGATGTACTTCTCAGCTTTTTTTTTTTTTTTTTCTTTTTTTTCCATAGATAAAAAGAGATATGAGGTACAGCACTGCATCTGAAATATTTGACTCTCTGGCAATATTTTTGGATGTCAGTGAAGGGTTGTTTTGGTTCCTGTTTCACTGTGAGAGCCCTGGGGCTACTGCATGTCCTACAAGAGCCGGTTGTTGTAGAGTGAGCGAATGAACTCTCCTGCTCCTACAGCGGGAGTCTTCATCCTCCCTGAGGAGACTACTGCCACTTCTTAGTCTCCCCATAGCTCTAATTCTTTGGTGTAAGAACCACTTCCCTGTTTTTTCTTTCTTTTTTTCTTTCTTTTTTTTTTTTTTTTCTTCTTTTATTGTTGGTATTTAGATCTTGGCAGCTGTGGCTATACAAATAGAGATTGCTTTGTCTCTTAACAGACATGTTAATTTTTTGTTCCTCAGCCTAATAGATACAAGACTGAAATTGCACTGCAGTTTTACCTTCAACGTAGAAAGCCTGTCTTTTATAGCAGAGTAATAAAACTAATGTGTTAAATTCAAGTATATGTAGTCCAAGTAACTGAGTATTTTAATGCTAAACAAGGCCTGCTAATGCACCTCTAAGTTAATATTAGCAGTTGCTGTCCTAAAATATTTGCAAAAATTAAGCTAAGTGCACATTAGGTGATGTTAATAATTCCAGTAATGCTAAAGTGATGTAAATGTAACAGTATCAGAGTAAGATAACGAAAGCTTGTTATGAGGCAATGAATAGCCATTGTTAAAATAAATAAATGTCATTCTTTAGGAAAGAAAAAGCTATGACTGTGACTATGAACTTCCGTGTAGTGCAGCCTATTTAGCTTTAACTCGCTGCAAATAGATGACATACAGGATCTAGATATGAAATAATTATTAATAGTATAATGATTTATAGATTAATTATTGATATTAATTACTAATTCACTATTGCTAATTTTAGCAATAAAGATTTAGTTTGAATATACAGTATTCCTATAATAATTTTGACATACCTCTTGCAGAAAGTGGAATGAAGAAACTGACATCTTGGCCTGTCAGAAATAGTTTGAAAAAATAAGAAAATCTTATTTAATACAAGTAAAGAACAATATAGATCTTCCTCTTGATTTTGCCCAGCAATGGTTAAGAAGACTTCTTGTTCTCTTCTCCCATCTCCCTTCAACCATACTGTATTAAAACTGTCTTTTAAAAGTGAATTTAACAGGTTGAAAAACTTTTGGACTAAATCTGTAGGATGTAGATGGGTAAAATTCATTTTTTCTTTTTTTCTTTTTTCTTAAGATGTTTTGGACTTCCTTTTCTATTCTTCATTTTGGTTGTTTTTCTTTGTTTGGCATTTCCTGTGGATAGAGAAGTGGCAGTTTTTACCTTTGCTGTCGTCTTTTCATGTTTTTTTCCCCCTTGCCCAGTCTTAATAATTTTTCTTTGTCTTTAGAAAAGCGAAATGTGGTGCTGCTAGATTCCAGTTATTTTACAGAGTTTATATTGATATTGAGAAATGAGCTGTCTCAGATTTGCTTCTTATTCCAGCAGAGACCTGCATTCTGAGTGAAAATGAAGAAAACGAGGCAGAGAGGGGCATCCAGGAAGCCCTCGATCAGGACATGTTGCCTCAGCCACCTGATGCCCACAGTCTGGACTGGAGGGCAGCCAGTCTTCAAAAGCCACAGAGGGTGAGGTGCAATAAGCTCACTCGCCAAGCAGGAGGCTTCAAGAAACTAACTGCCCTTGTTAATCACCAGAAAGCGCACACTGAAGATAAACCCTTCAGATGTGCAGAATGTGGGAGGGGGTTCAAAGGGAGTTCTACTCTCTTGAATCATCTGAAAATCCACACTGGAGAAAATGCTTTTGAATGTTTAGAGTGTGGAAAGAGCTTTAACAGGAAGGCCAACCTTGTAGTGCATGAAAAAGTTCACAGAGGAGAGAGGCCCTACAAATGCAAAGAGTGCGAGAAGAGTTTTGGCCGTAGTTCAAATCTTATTGCTCACTATAAAACCCATGCAAAAAAGAAAGTCTTTTCCTGCGGCATATGCAGCAAAAGTTTCAGTGGAAGCTCAGCTCTCTTCCAGCATCAGAGAATCCATATGGATGAAAAGCCTTACCGTTGTGCTGAGTGTGGAAACAGCTTCTGTCTATGCTCAAACTTCATCGAACATCAAAAAATTCATTTGAGAGAGAGACACAGTGAAGACATAGCAGGTAACTAAGTTATGATCTGTTGAGTGTACAAATTCCAGCTGTTCAAATTCACAGAGAATGTAGTGGACACTGATTCCTTCATTCTTAAATGCTTGTCTCTCCTTCCTATGGTAGGCATAGATGGTATGTTGCTGTTTTTTTTTTTTTTTCTTCTTTTTTCCTCCTCCCTCTATAATAAATCTTACTCATAATTTGAAGATGTGGCTAGAAAATGCCAATGCTGAAGTTTGAATTTTGCATTCCCCAAGGGCTGCATGGGAATGAGTTCATTAACTCCTGTTTACTAGTGTTTCCTGATGCTCAGGCCTAGGTCTTCATGAACCCAGAAGATACTTGGCTTAGGAAGGCTCTGTAAATTGGCGCCTAGGTAGCCCATAGCAGTAAATTTTGCTATATATGAAAAATGTTTCCTCCTTTTAGTGAAGATTAGCAGAATAGAACCACCGATAAAGATGAAAAGCTTTTCACTGCCTGCACAAAAATACTCTTGCTAACGGGAAGTCTCTTCTGACCATCCCTTCTTAATCATTAGTGAAGCATAAGCTCTCAGGTGAGTAGTTGCTTAAAGTAGGGAATTTTCCAGATTTTTGCAATATTCCATGTTCTTAAAAGAATGGAATATGTTCATTAAAATATGTTCATAAAATTACCAAAAATTGTAGAACTAGATATTTGTTTGTTTTGTTATAGTGACAGGCATGTAAGCAGCAGGCATTGCTTGATCTAAGATTTAACATTACTTTAAAGACTTAACATTAAGTCTTTGGTCGTGATAATCAGTGGTGTTAGGGCTTTAACCACCAAATCAGGTAACAGCAAGACATTTAGACACCAGGACCTAATGAGAAGGTATGTGAAATTTTTGTATAAAATTTTTCTGTGTTTTATTTTTTGTTTGTTTTTCCCTCTTGTCATTCTAACGTAATTCCTGAGGAGGAGAGCCTTTTATCTGAACGAAATTATAATTTCAGTATACTTTGAATGACAAAACTAGATTCCTATTTGAGGTTTGGAGAAGTCTGGGTACAGAGGTACTGAAAAATGGCCAGGCTAACAAGCAGTAAAAGTGGGAGTTTCCAGCTGTACTACTCATTTTAACAGTTTTTTAGTTTATATATATATTTTTCTAATTCACAGGAAGAAATAACATAGGTTTATTATTACTCTGGCAATTTTCCAGTAAGAAAAGTCAGATGAACTTAAATCTGTGTCTGATTCAAACCAAGGTATCCAAATGTATTCTGGAGGAACTGTACTGTATCATTGTAATTGAAGCTGCATTCTAAAATTGCCTGTATGATCACGTGTGTGTTTCATTCACCTTGTGACGTGTGGAGTCGGAATTAAATTAGATTTCTATATCTGATATGCCTCAAAGAAGAGGTTAACATATTACAGCTTAAAATATGCTCTTCTATATCTTGACTTCTTTATTCTTTAACAGCTCCCTTCCTCCTGCTTTGCTTCTTCCTTCTCCCTGTGGGGACATGGGTAAAGCAGAAGGAAATTTGTAAAGTTTATTGGAGTGCAGGTGAGAATGATAGTAAAAGAGATCTTTTGATTATAATAAAACTGAATTTTGTAATTCTTCTGTAACTTCAAATGAACATACCTTCCTAACCTTTGCTTTGATTTGGCTTAGTTTGAGTCATCAAATGACTTGAGTGAAGTTTTATGATTAAAATGTGGGTAAGATGAAGGGTTGTTACTGAACTGCATTTTCCTCGGGTGAAGGCAGGTTTAAATTGCTGCTGTAGTGACTGGGGATGAAGTGGGCCCTTGACTTTAACGATCCTCCTCTTAGATGCAAATCGTTCTGAATTTATATCTCTGCATCATAAAGAACAGCAAAGGCGTGACACAGAGAAACTTGAGATGGACCGCTGGAATCTCATTTTTGAAGAGCGTAAGTATAAAAAGGCTTCTAAATTGCCTTCACAGTATTCCTGCATTGCAGACATTAACATTCTCTTCTCTTTGTACAGTGAAGAAAATGAGAGAAAACATGGATATGTTGCTTCTGAATCAGCAAAGTCAGCTGCAGGTCCTGCAAGAAATTCAGAAACAACTGAATATACTCCTCCCAGGCAACGATCTCATTAATTCCAATGTCTATAGTTTAGGACTACTGCTAGGACGGCAGGCAGCTGCAGTTGCATCTCTTTCTTTTCCCCTTCTTAATCCTAGCAGTCTCCTTACTGAAAATGCCCCTCTTCTCTCCCGTTTGTCTGCTCCTGAAATTCTCTCTGTCTCACAGCTCACAGGCTCTCAGTTTCATGCAACTTCTACAACTTCTTGACCTGCTTTGTGTTATGAATGTATTAAATGTGAACAGATGCGAGTACTGTTTTATACCGTTTTACCATCAAGCATCTCTATTGTAATTGTGAAATTGTGTTATCTTTGTGGGTGCTGACCCTGTGCTCAGACTTTCAGCATGTGCATCACTTGTGCATCAGCAGACAGAAGCTGATCAAATGCTTTACTCAATTGTTTCACTGCAAAATGCATAGATTTTGGCAGGAATATATTTTGCCAAGGCAGCCCAAGAGATCTTTATCATTGAGGTATGGTTAAGTAGAACATCCATATATGATACTGCGTAAAACTTAAGCATATTATTCTAACATGTATTAGGTTTAACATACATTTGGCTACTTTTACCTGTTCTAGTGAGTTGATGTTAACAAGAAAGTCATCGGGGATGCTTTAAGTAATTCTTAAGTCTGTTTTATATAGAAATGTGTAACCAACATGTTTATGTGAAAGTATTCACTCTAACACCACTTCTGTTTATGTAAAAGTATTCATTCTAGCATCACTTTAGTAAGCAGATGCTTATTAAAGGTTCCTTAATTCAATGAGGCTTTAAATTAGGTGGCCTTTACTGACTCTCAGCCAGTATTATTAATAAAACCACAAAAAGGGTTGGAAAGGGGAAAAAAAAGTACTTGCATTACTCACATCTGCTTTGATTGCTAGAATTTCATGAGGAAAAGGCAATTTGAGTTACAGAACACTTGTTCATTTCCTCAAAGTAGTCCTTACTTAAATCTATTTTCAGATATTCCATCTACCCTACTGGGTTACTATATGTTGACAGTTATGTATTAATTTATTAGGGGTAGAACTACTGGGGTAAATAACTGCTGACTTCAGTGTCCCCTGAGCTCAGATGCTCCACCTTGTAAGATCTGCTAGATGGAAGGCAATTTTTTTTCCTGCCTCTGAAGGACTGCGGCCTTCTAAGGTTAGTAAGGGTAGTATGTTAAGAAGGGTCAGTCCTTTTTATCTTGTTTCTTTCTGTGACACAGGCTAGTTGCTATGTCAGAGCCTTTGAGCTTCCAGAGTGCAACAGAGCTAATTTTGATTCGCCTTTGTTAGAAAGCTGCTTGGATAAAGAAACTTCGGGACTTGTGCCTGAACTATTTTGAGCTTCTGTTGTGTGTTTTTTTTATTATTATTATTGTTTTATTTCTAAAATAAAGTATGCACAATTACTATCTGATAAAATATGATTTGGTTTTTAAGAATTTTAACAAGTGATCTGCTTGGTGATATTCAAGTGGAATAATGTCAGATTCTTGCTCAAAGGTAAAGTGTGGTTTCAGGTATGACTGTTTCTTTTCATGTGAGTACAGATTGTGAAAAATCACTTTAGTTCTTACTATGTGGACTTCTATAGTAGTCTTAAGTCAGAAAGGCATTCATTTAAGCCAAATCGAGACTGATCTCTTAAAGGGCATTTCCTTCAAAGAGAACTTGTACTGAAGTGCTTGAGTCATTTTCCATCAACTGAGCACAATCAAACTGAGTTGTGTGGCTTGATGCTTAAGAGCTACAATAAAAATTTCTAACAAATTATGGAAACTGTAGGATTCTGTTCATGATTTCTTGAATGTTAAGTTTGTTTTTGTTTTGTGTGGTCCCCTCTTCAAAGTATGGTTAAAGTTTGTATTTTAGTATTTTTAAGATGTTCAATATTTAAAAAAAAAATGCATTTTAGGTTCAAAACTAAACTTTGCTTTTGTCCTTTATAAAAGAGTACCTATGCTTGGCATCCGATGCCTGCACCTGAATACACTACTCTGTGCCCCCTCTCTAACTCTTCCTGTTTTTCTCCATCCGTCTTCCCCTTTTTTTTGCATGTAAGTACTTCATTTTTGTCTTCTGAAACTTCTTCAGAGGAAGACATAATGAAGCCTGCCACTTTAGTAACTGAGACGAGTTAGAAAGCATTTCATACAGGAGGCTTTTCGTCTATCAGGTGGGACTGTCACAAGAGACTTTGATGTCTGTCTTCCTACTTGGCAGGCACAGGAGCAGTTCAGAAAAAAAATAAGAAAAGCTACATCCTTTCCGAACTGCTGTACTCTATTGCTTATTTTGGATCCCATCTGAAACGGGGGGAAAGTCCTGCAAGACCTCTGAGCTGCAAGTTTATTGAGGGCTGAAGGAAAGGATAGAATAGAGAAGCAGAAGACACCATTGCATTTCTTGTTTTTGATTTCCTCTTTACTCTTCCAGAACGGAAGTGGAAATCTTTTCCTCCTCTTAGCCTCTCAAGCACTTGACCGAGAAGCATCTCTCTCTTTTCTCTCTCTCTTTTTTTTTTTTTTTTTTTTAATGACTTAGCTTTGGGGCCTTCCTGCCCATACTGGGAGTTGTCTAGAATGCTTTCATCATCCTACACTGCCTTGTGGTGCTCTGGCTGTGATGTAGAATGGTAGATGTTTGGGAGTTGCAATCTTCGATAGACTACCTGGAGTACTGGAGGGCTCTGCAGTGCTTGGGAAGATGTAAGACGATTCCACAAGTTCCCCTTGTCAACTATGAATCTGTGGCCTGCACAGGTCAAGTGACTGTATGGCGTGTAGACAAATAAAGGATATTGGACAAGATAGTAGTCTCTAACAGTTGTAGTTGAACAAAGTCAAGCTTGGAAGTTTAGTGTCCTAAGTCATGTCAGTCCACTTCTGAGGCACGTTCAAAAAAAAAAAAAAAAAAAAAAAGTTGTTTAGGAGGGGAGAAGAAAAGACTTGAATTAACTCCAGGCCCACTATTATAGTTCTTCAGGAGGAAAGATTATTTTCAGTCTGCTTGCTGACGGATGAATCTATTAAAGCATCCTGTTTTCAGACATGGGAAGGAAATGTTTATATAAGATCATGTTTATATATATCATGTTAATATATACATTCTATCTTAAATGATATTGTTATGAGAAACCTCAAAAAGAATGCATCCAATGCAGCTTTGTACCATTTCATATTAGCACAACCAAAGTGAGCATCCTTGAGTTATGTTTGAGTTAGTATGTGACTTATACCTGCTTTTCATGCTCTGAACAAGTTTTTTGTATCTCTGTTGCTCACTTTTTCTATCATGCAACTAAAAGCAGCGAAAGAAAACTTTCATTTTTGCAGGTAGTGTCCACCTCAGATCCTAAATAGTATAAAATATGCTACTTGAGGTCTTCTTAAGCACAAGGAGTTGCACGTACATAATTATGGCATGCTCCTAGCCAACTGACTTTTGGTGGTAAAGTTCCTGCTTGTAGAATAACCTGGCTTCTGTTGTGCGTTTGTTTGTTTATTTTTTCCTTTCCTTTTCACTATTTCTGAAAGTATTCTTGAGTTCCTTGTTGTTGTTTAGCTAATCTCTGTTGCTTACCGTTTCCATTGTTGTATTCCCAGGAAGGAAAACGTGTAAAAAAAAAAAAAAAAAAAAAAAAAAAAAAAAAAAAAAAAACAGCTCCAAATAAATAATTCTTGGGTGACCATAATGGCATTATCTGATAAACTGTGAAGAACTGATATCTTCTTCTGTTTACATTAAATCTCTCCTATTTCATAGAGGGATGAGAATTTAATAGAATCATTACAGTTAGAAGGGACCTTTAGAGGTCATCTAGTCCAACCCCCCTGCACACACAGGGTCACCTAGAGTATATTACACAGGATTGCATCCAAGTGGGTTTTGAAGATCTCCAGAGGAGATTCTACAGCCTCTCTTGGCAACCTGTTCCAGTGCTCTGTCACCCTCACTGTCAAGAACATTCTCTCTAAGTTTCCTAAGCTATATAAACAGTTGCTAAGGCTCCCAGTAGAGCAGCACTTTTCATTTTTCCTTTTTTTTTACATACTGTTATGAATTTGAGCAGCCTGGAAGCTTTTAAAAGTAAGAAGAACTGTAAGATGAAAGTGTATTAATTACAGTAACCTCTTGGAATCGGGTACCAGCCCAAGTGAAAGACACAAGAACAAATAAATCAATAATCCAATAACAGAGCCTACTACTTGTAATACTGTTCTGAAAGAAAATTGATGTTTTCCAAAAAGCAATTACTATTTTAGAAGTTGGAATTAGCCTAGAAGCAGAGTTAAAGGAAGGTGACTTCCCAGACTCTTCTACTGCTGCCAGTTTCAGTTAAGTTGTTTTTGAGAGGCCTTGGGAATCCAGAGCCTTCAATAGGCAAAGTAAGAGTATTTGCAAACATTATATCTGGCATTAGTTTTACATCATTATAATGTCCATATTGCGTGATTTGTTTTTAGAATGGGGTAACCTGGTAAGCTTTAAAGTAAGCTAAGCAAATATCTAATTATCTCAGGTTTCATTTTCGGTACTGCTTTCGTCTCTGAAACTGCTTTCGTCTCTGAAGCCTTGCTGTATATTGGAGTCCATGGAGTAAACAAACAAACAAAAAAAAGCAAAAATCAAGAAAAAAAGGAAAGGAAGAAAAAAAAACTCTGTGTTTTCAGTCCTTTTTATATATAGTATGGGGAAAAGAAAGCAAAATGGCACCCGATTTCTGAGTTTATTTTTTTTTTCTGCTTATTTTAAAGTTACTTGTCATTTCCATCGTGTTATCTACTTTACATGAGTATCATTTTGTATGAGATTTTTAAACTTTGGATCCGGAATTGCATTTTATCACTGTCTCCGTTCATACAATAATGTTTCTATTTAAGTGATCCTGACAAACAGCAAGTGGAGTGCCTGAACACCATGGGCTCAGCTATTTCAGAAGGTGAAACTACTGGATAGATGCATTGTTTTGAACATGTTTTAATAGGGGCAAATTTTTAGGAACTTTTCATTTAATGTTGCCAGTGAACCCATATTTTGGAGTGGGAGCATGCAGGTTTTCCTGTTTGGTTCTCCCTGTCTTTGGCCTTTATTCAGTGCTCTTAACTTTCAACTATCTTAACATAAACTCCTACAGCCGTTCAAATGACTCACATGACTCACATTCTAGAAAGAACTGGATCTGTTCTCTGCAGACAAAAAAAAAAA